ATATTTTTGGAGTCACATGACCAGTGTTTACCAGGGCCTTTGCTTCCCGTACCAGAGCCTCTGAACCGCGCAAAGGCCCTGGGTACGAGGTTGCCTTGTTCCCTTTGCAAAATATGCCAAATTATTTTTAACAATCGCATTCTTTGCCACCATCTAAAGCACCTCTAGTGACATTACAAAAAATACAGATGAGTCGTGAATAATTTTTCAAGATACTTTCAAGTGATGCATAAAAATCGGGGAGAAAATAATGAAAATTTCATGTCATATGCACTTTAAAACGTTGCATTGTGTTATACATAAATATGGTTTATTGGAAGGTAATATCAATACAAGAAGTATAAGTTCTGGCCCCTTGTGATAACCATATAGTCGACTAAGTCGAGACAGATAGTCATTAATATATAAGAAGATTATATAAAGGGAGTCACAAGGACGAGGCTTACATCCCTCCTCACCCATGGACACGCTGTGGTTTTTCAGTAGGTCCTATATGTTCCTTCCAATTTCGACATATTTTCAAACAGTGTACAGTAACAAATATGCATATAACGCTAAAGGCTATTGACATTTAACCTGAGCTCTTATAGTTACACACTTAAAGTATCTGTAGCAAAAGTGCGTTTAATCCATGCATCACTCTGTTTGAAGTTTTGTCCTGATTTCCATTTCCATTACCGCCGCTTGCTGACGAAGAACTAAATAACTGGCGATTTGCGATAGACGACTTATCGAAACGTGATTGCCTTCCATGCCCGCTTTAGACTGAGTGTACAAACGGTGACACAGTCGTTCTGAACTAAGTGGAGAAATTTCCGTCATAGATTCAACGAAGCCAGTATCCGCCATAACTCCTGAACTAACCTCGGGATGACTTAGAAGTTGGTTCTCCATATCATGAAATGCTGGCTCGCGTTGCTTCAAAATCAGGGACAAGAAGAACTCGCGTACTCGTGTTTCATCAATTGTGTTCTCGCCGAATGCTCGATAGCTCATTGTAAGCTGTTCCAAATCATCAACGTCCATGAACGGATACACAATACTAGAGAAAGCTGTGAAGTCTTCAAACGATGTCCAGTGAACAATCTGTACTAAACGACGGAGTATCAGAAAGTATCGGAAAGCAGCAGGATCAAGGTTGCCACATAAGCATTCTGCAAACATTTGAACAAATGGTTGCAGTGGTGCACTGCTTTGGACTGTCTCCATCACATCCCTAGCTACCAAAACTGCAACGCTATTAGATTGATAACGATGATTCAGGAACGCGTACCATGCCTCTAACATGGGCACAAGTCCTCCGTTCATCGAAGTTTCCTCTCCATTTTTAGTATCATCTAAAACAACCAATGCATAAAATTGCTCAATTACAGAAACCAAAAAGTCCATTTTCAAAACTCTTGGAGCTCTTTGGTGGTTCCTGCTTTCACGTAGCGCTAAATCATTCCAAAGCTTGGGGTAAACTTTCTCGGACTTTAATTCTTTTGGTAAATTTGAAGTCCTTTCTGGAAAGTCAGATGGCGAGGCTTGTGGAACTTGTAGCTCTGGCCGTGTAAACTTGATATGTGTGCATTGCAACGGTAGGTGAAATACCCTTTCGCCTGTTGTCACCTTATGAGGACACACCAGTGTTTTCGCTGTACAACTTTTACACTGTTGGACACCGGGTAACTCTTGGAATGTCTTGCCTTGATTACATGAGTACAGTACGACCAGAGCATACTTGCTTAGAATTGGTTCTTGTGGAACAAACGTATAGTTCATACTTGCATCTTTTATAAGTTCTAACAAATCCGACTCCTCTTCTGTGGAGTTTCTCCCTTTACGAAGCAGGTTTTCAGAATGTTTTGATTGTCTTTTCAATTCGTTAACTTTGTCCAAATCGTTCTTTAGAATCGAAAGATGCATTAAGTTTTGAGCAAGTTCGTTTTCGATATTACTGATCATATTTACAAACGCCGTTTCGCACCTTTCTCGTTCTTCGTCTTTCGTCGACAGTTTTCCGTTCGATGGTTGCTCAATACGCGGTTCACTGGGTACGCCCTTTCCTTTCTCCTTCAAATGACATTCCTCTAGATATTGGTCGTACTCATCAATGCAAGTATTTCTGAGCAGCAAAAGTTGTTTCTCTAAAGCTGCTCCTTCAGCGATATCGTTACGTAATTTCTGCTCTTTTGCTGAGAACAATCCTCTCTGAGGTGTTGGCGAAAATACGGTCGGATCACGAAAATCATCCTGCACTTTATCATGGCATTTCTTAAAACGATTTAGCTCATCTACTTTACCGCTCTCTTGTACGAGCTGTTCGTTCAGATTTTCTATTGAGTTTTCGAAGTCTTCTACTCTCCTTCTCATTTTCTCCTGCTGATAGCGTAGTTCTATGTCAAGTTGATTGTTCTGCTGTTCTTTAGTAACTAGATTACTCTGTAGTTCGTGAATTTGTTCTTGTTCATCGGCAATGGTGGATTCTAAATTTGCAATATTCTTCTTGAAGGCACCAATCTCGTCATTTAACTCTTCTACAATGTTTTTCAGTTGTTTAACTTGTTCTTCAGCTACTTCAGCGCGGCTGTTTCTTTCATCTACGAGTTTATTTAAAATGTCAAAATACGGTATGCGTTCAATAGAAGAAGCGTTCTTCACAAGGGAGCTGTTTCTTTTATCCATCACTGGAGTTACGACTTCGGGCCCAATATCTACAGTATATTGCCGGCTGAACACAGCCTCGTAAACTTGATCTCGAATCATTTTCATAACCCTTTTATATTGTCCCAACATAGGAATGACTTCATCAAATATCTCAAAGCATTTATATAGTTTAGAGCTGGTCGGAATCTGTCTCAAATGATTTGCTTCGAGAAGAGTCAGTTCATAGTTATTCGCCAATGATTTGGCGCTTTGGCTTGAGGAAAACGCCATCGTATCAAAAGCAGAAATATTTAAAATTAACACTTTAAAGTAAACTTCAAAATTATGCGAGAAATGCAGCAAAATGTTTTGGCCGCCATTTTTTATTTTCTGTTGCCATGTCAACAAGACTCGTGCCAGACTTCGCTCGACTGTTGTAAAACCGCTGGTGTATCTTTGTTGTGAAGTGCAGGCTCGCAAATCTGTCTTCCTTTTCGTTTTGCTTCGTTTTGAGAAAGTTATTGCATGGTAAGCGCTCTCAATCCATGTGAAATATCCGTTTACTTTACACATCCACTGAATAAATGCATTTATTTGTAAAGCCCATTCGTGAATCTTGCGAGTCGTTACTGCTTGTTGTTGTGAAACCCCCTAAAATAAGTAATACTGGGTCATTTTATCGACCCTATGACAATTAAATTTTATACCCTATTTATTTTAATAATCGTTGCACGTTTTGGTTTAGCCCGTTGGTAAACTGTGTCTCACACGACGACTAATTATTATGTTCTGAAATTATTATGTTCTATTATAACTGTACTGACAGTACAGTCTGTGTAAAGCTCTCAAACATAATATATATTTTATAATACTTTTGTTTGTGGAAGCACCACGTAAGTTTATTACTTATTATTATATACCAAACTGTCAAAGTCGCATTTTTCTAGTGTTTTATTGGTCGAGAACACATTGCGTGAGAGTGACAAAATTAGGCTGTCTCCCTCACAACAGCTCGAGAGGGAAATAATACGTTATCGACCAGTGTATAACGAAAAAAAGTCATGTGCGCCATCACATGAAGATGGAACCTTTGGACATGCCTAACAGCGCGCAATATTTTTAGCATTTTTTTAGTATTTACGTTCATTTGTTGTTTCTTTGACTATTGATATAATAAAATACTTATTTACTGGGACCTCGGGATTTCAAGCAGTATGTTTTGTGGACCGTCGATGTTTCCCTCAGCTTCACCTCGGGAAACATCGACGGCCGAGGGAAACATCGAGGGTCCACAAAACATACTGTTTCCCTCGCTCCCAGTAAATAAGTGTTAATTATTATTTATCACTTATTTACTGAGACTGAGGGAAACAGTGTGTTTTGTGGCCCTCAACCGCCGTTGTTCAACAAAAACTGCTTTCCCAAGGTCTCAGTAAATAAGTGTTTTGTTATATAATATACTGTATAAGTGTCAAAGTATGAGTAATTCACTGTTTATTGGAGTGAATTTAATTTGAAACCAAAACTGGATAAATGGAATGCCGTAAACTATTGTTTATATATTTTCCTTCTACAGCTTCATCTAATCATCTGCCATTATGTCTCAGCCTGTCAGGTAAAGTTTATTTTAGCTAGGTATAAATGAAGAAGTTTCCCAACATACTTAATCAGTGAAATCGGAAATCGATTGCCAATCAGTGTGACATTTCACCAAGTGATTATCGATTGGTGTTGATTTTCATCCATTATTGATTTCATTAATTGGGTATGCTGGGGCCATGGCATAGAAATACAGGGTGTTAGCTACAGTAAAAAAATTGGTGTTATACGCCGTTTTCACAATTTTGTCCAGCCAGCAATTTCACAATTTAGATCAGCTGAAAACGTAACTATTATATACACAAATTATTGTTCAACTTCAAAACTTTGCTCAAGAAAAGTTGGGTACCAGATAAGTGTTGCGAGGATGTCATGTAGTCTATAATATATATTCCTTAACTCCCTCTGAATGTGTAGGCTAACTGAAATTCCCAATTTCATTAAATTGCCGAATTTTTTAATCATCTGGCTAACACCCTGAAATAATAGATATATTATGCATATTTGATCACCAATAATGTCTCCACTTTTACTCATTTGTGCCCATTGAATTTGACCAGAGGTGACAATTACAAAGTATAAACAAAGCTAATACCAAGTTTTCATTGTCTTACAGTCTAATTTGCAGTTTGAGTAAATGTTTTAAAATATTAAGTTCTTTGAAGGCACAAAAGCATATGTGAATGCTGTATCAGTTGGACAATTTTGAAAACAGTGAAACTTATGCAGCCTTGTAAAAATATTTTACTCTTGAAACGTTTTTCATGCTCTGAGCATCACACATCCGGCCTTGTTTTCTGATAATTTTTGCGATAATTTTCATAACTTCCAATTTGCATTGTTTTTAATGTACGCTGTTAGCCCACAGGCATAAATGCCCACAGGGTGTGCTGATCATTCCCACTTGCAGCCCAGAGCTAAGCTAATTTGTAAAGGATGTAGTTCAACCTGATTCAATTTTAGTCGAAGGCTTTCTAAGGGCACTACTGGCAGCCACCTTATGAATCATATCTGATCATGGAGCACAGTTTTGCTGGAAGGGTCAGTTAGGGGCATCCTTTGACAGTTATATTGCATCCTACTTTGTTATTTTACTCTGACTGTCTAATGCGAGACAGAGTGCTGGCAAGCAATTGGTTAACCAGTTTATCTGCCCATATGACTAGTCAACTCATTAAGTTGTATTCCCCTCTAATGCATCCTACTTTATTATGTTACTCTCTCTCTAATGCCAGATGATTTTACTCGCCAAGTGGAGAGTGCTGCCTCTCAATTGGTTAAACATATTACAACAAGTTTTCATCTAGGCTGTTGCGGTAGCCTATTTTCATCTTGTGGTAAACATTTCTTCCTAGTGAACTCCAGATAATCGCTAGCACATCAATAATAATGTGCTTCCCCTCTGAGTCTCAGCAGCAATTATAGGAAAAATAGGTGTTCATAATTTTACTTCTTATATACAGATTGTACACCAAAGGTATTGTATTGGGCTATAAACGAAGCCTAAGGAGTCAAGATCCTAACACATCCTTGCTGAAAATTGAAGGTGTGAATGATAAGAAGGATACAGATTTTTACCTTGGAAAGCGTGTGGCTTACGTATACAGAGCTCACAAAAAGAGAGAAGCCAAGGGCAAAAGACCAGCTAGCAAAATCCGTTGTATCTGGGGGAAAGTGACCAGACCACATGGCAACAGTGGTGTTGTGAGAGCGAAGTTCAGGCACAATCTTCCATCAAAATGCTTTGGGGCTACCGTTCGAATTGTAAGTGTAATTAAAAGTTAGATGCTAAGGTATTTGTTATAGTAGTATCGTGGTATATATCAATATCGTTGTACACATCGTATATCTTAGTAAATTCAATATTTATGGTGAAATTTTCATACTCTATACTCTATAGGGTATGCATGGTAACTATAGAAACACTTATCCCAATATCGGTTTAATTTTCTATTTTTAGATGCTGTATCCATCGAGAGTGTAATGTAGTCTTTATTTGAAATAAATAAATGTATACATCGGTTATAATGGTTGTTAATTTGTTGTAAAATGTATTTGCTCTTATCGAAAATTTTCTTTGTTGAAGCAAAGAGATGCATTTCTACGCAGTGGTATACGTATAAATTTTCGTTGTATCGAAGCCTCTTGACTATCTGTATTAGAGAGTTTAAGATCTACGACGCGGCTGGCTCAATGACGCGGTCTGAATTTCAGCTCAAGAATGAGTGCTAAGCAATTTGATTACTGTATTAATAAGCTTTTTCAAATAACCTTACAAACGGTTAAGTTTGGGTAAAGCGATGCAATGTTTGCTGTTGGGTCGCTTTCACATTGCTTGAAAGACGTGATAACTGCTTAGGTTAACGTTGTGTCGAGAATGACAAAGCCGTTGAGAACACCCCTGGTCCCACAAATTATTCGCAGTTTTTGTCTTTCATGACAAATTTCTTTACCGCGTTGTTGAGCCGGCAGCGTGGTAGATCTTAAACTCTCTAATATTGAATATGGCAGTCAGTACTCATAGACATAAAAACAACATGGAGCCAACATGGATAAAGGTTTGATTAGTGGGGTAGTATTCCTAGATCTTAAAGCATTTGACACAGTCGATCATAGTATACTTTTATCTAAACTTGAACGTTGTGGGCCTGGGTCCGAGAAAGAAAACAAATTTGCAGAATAAATATTACTGTGTCAGGTGCAACAGAAATACGCTGTGGTGTTCCAAAGGCCTCGAACCTGGGTCCCTTACTATTTCTGATATATATCAACGAACTTCCGAATAGTTTACAGACAACTACGGCTTCTATGTTTGCAGATGACACAAATTTATCTTGCACAGGGCAGACAGAGTATAAAATAAACAAAGACCTAGCTAATATCCGGAAGTGGGTAATAAGTAACAAATTAACTTTAAATATTGGAAAAACTGAGTACATGATTATCGGATCGAAACCTAGGTTAGACACAATTTCTGAAACCCCAAAAATAACATATGGCGATTATCAACGAACACAACAATGAACAATATCAAAAGGTATAGCCCTACGTAATGCCAAAGACGTTTCACAAGAAGTGTTAGTCACAATGTACAATTCACTGGTGCTATACGATAATAACAGTTGTCATATTAATGATTTATTCAAATTACAAGCTGCACGTGTTATAACCAGTTCAGACTATAGTATTAGATCTGTCCAAATTTGTGAAACCCTTCAATGGCAACCAATCAAAACAATACTTGATAAACGAGAATTAATGATGATGTTTGAAGTTTTAAATGGTATATGGAGCCAAATTACCTGACAATGTTGTTTCATAAATATAACAGATTCCCTAAAAAACAGTTTTGTTTATCGTGGAGCAGCTTCCTGGAACAAGTTACCCTCTGACATGATACGAAATTGAACAAAATTATATAGAAAACCAGGTTTTTAATGGAACATTTACATAAAAAAAAACAAATTGTGAAAAAAAATTTTCAAAACTCAATTGAAGATTGAGTATTTACTACCGTATACCGGTAGTAGAAAAGTGCTTGAAAATAACCCTGAAACACGATATGGAAAAGTTCTTCATAATTATATAATTTTGAAAGTTCTCTCAAATAAGACAAACTTAGTTTTTGCTGCCATTTCACTTGAACTACAAAACAACGAAATGAAACAGGAGCGAAAAAACAGTTCGTGTATAAACTTAACACTTGGACAAGTCAGATATAAATTTGTAATGCAGTTTAATCTATTCATGTATGTCGTCGATCGCAATTTTTGCGAACTGAAATTTTACTCACGTGCAGTCGTACCTCTATTTGCGAAAATTTCATAGGCAAAATTTTTTACTAATTAACGTCTTTGAACGTCTGATTTTGTCAAAGCAAAACAGCTTTCGATTTATTTTGCTTTGACGTTAGATACCAGATAATCTTGATACGCGGAAAAGAACTGGCACTAGTTGTCAAATAGAAATCCATTTTATGATTAAAACAACTGAATATCTCCTGTAATATACTTTATTTCGATTCCATATTTTTGTCAGAGCTATAGTTCTCATAACCAAACATAGTTACAAAATTTCAATTAGTTTCATAAAGAATAACGAAAGATATAATTGACTGAACACATCAAAATGGATTTCTATTCGGACAACCCTTTCTGAGCGCTGATTGGCTAAAATACGAACACGAGATCACCTGGAATAGAAATAGAGAAATCCACGTTTTGCGATAATTATTACGTGACGTCATACTCATCGGTCAATTAGCGCAATCTGTGCGCAATTTATTGAGTGCGGTGTTCGAAAGAACAGTATGTGAACTCAATACATCGTTACAATGCCGCGGAAATACGACAAGAAAACAAAGGCAAACTTTCGCGCTGGTCGGCGAAACTCGCGCCGTGCTAGCATGCGCGTCAACATGGTCTCACCTGGGCTTTCCATGTTTAATGATGAATTTGATCCAGCCATTGATGACACCATGTTGATGCTGAAAGCCAAGGGAATCGATCGCGAAAGAGAACGTTTTGCAGAGGCCTTGACAGAAGTACGGGACAGGATTTCAGCGGTAAGATGTTGAAATAGAGATTTTTCGTGACAGGAAACTTTAAGTTTTAAAGTCTTAACAGTGAAACGTGCTTTAATTGAAAGTTTAGCGTACAGCTGCAAAAGTTTAAGTCGCTGCAGAATAAACATAATTTCAATCACGGTGGCGTTTTGACCATTGGTATTCTAAATATCTCTTTCACAATGTAGGGAGAAGCATTTCAGAAACCTTAAATACAACGGTTCTATCGAATGAGATACCCAAAATTCTGATATTCACCCATAACTTTGTATATTGTCATTTCTAGATCGTTGATGACTATGATACAATGCTTGAAGAATCAGCTCACATTTATAGAGTAAGTGATAACTAGAACTTACTTTCTCAAGAAAAGTACTACTTTAAGGTCGATTTACACCACAACTTTTGCCTAAAACTTGCATGCAACCTGCTTACCACTTGAGTTGTACTGTGTAAATCAAGCATTTGAAAAACGTTTCTCATTTTTTTATATTTATTTATTTATTTATTTATTTATTTATTATGCTTTGCCAATTTCACACAATCATATCTGCACAAATACAAACACAAGAATATACAAACTATCAATCAATCAATGGCAGGGTATATGCTACAGCTTTGCGCCAATTACAGCAGCCCTTACAGAACGAACATGACACATTCTACATTAGACCTTTAGTAATATAAAAAGGCCAGTTTGCACCCAGGAAAACCCTCCGCAGGATAGTAACGGAAGGAAAGCGCAGGATAGTAACGGAAGGAAAGTGTACATAGTGCTAAAGTCGTTATAGTTTCAATGCTGTGCGCTCCTGCGGAAAAGTTTATTGAGTGGAAATTAGCTGACAATGAAGATTAACAAGACCAACACAGGGACACACATTAGAATTAATAACAACACGAATTTGAACAAGACAAATTACGGGACTTGTTACAAGACAAACATACAGACTTCCATGTTCTAGGATTTTCTGCGTCGTAAATGTTCAGAGCCGATTTGTAATATTCATAGAGATCGCTTTTGAAACGACCTAAGCTTATGTTCTTTGTTGTCAACTCTTTTGGCAGAACATTCCATACTCTCGCACACCTGGATATAAACGATCTCTGGAATGTTGCAGTCCTACACTTCGGTGTGGTGAACTTCAAACAGTCGGGGTCAGCTGATCGCGTTGCTCTCTGCCGGATCTGAATTGATGGTAGAATGTTGCCATTGATGTTTATTATCCCATTCACACATTTAAAGTAAAACAACAGATCGAGGAATTCGTGCCAATAGCAGAGCGGAATGAGGTCTAATAGTTCGAGTCTCTTACTATAGCTGACATCGCAGTTGAATGGTAGATCCAAAATAAACTTGCTCGCGCGCCTCTGGATTCTTTCCATGCGTTTGATCAGTTCCACGGATTGTGGAGCCCAGACTTGAGACGCATAGCACAGTTTTGAGCGTACAAGAGTCAAATACAGAGTACGACGAACCGAGATAGTTTTTATGTCCAGTGTAGATCTCCTTACGTAGCCGAGCATTTTGGTTGTTTGAGCACATTGGTCCTCAATATGTTTGGACCAAGTCAGATTGTAAGAAGTCCACACTCCCAATTCACGTTCGTGAACAGCGCTTTCCAGAACAGCATCATGTAGCTTGTAGGGATATTCTGTTTTGTGGTGTTTTCTGGTTATTCTCATGACTTTACATTTTTGAGCGTTTAATATCAGGTTTACCTTGCTGGAGTTCTTTTCAAAATTTGTTAGGTCCTCTTGTAGCGATGATGCGTCGGACACGTTATTTACAGTTTTAAAGATCTTTGTATCGTCCGCAAAGGTTGCGATACTGGAGTTGCCCACGCTTTCTGAGAGGTGGTTTTCGTACAAGAGAAACAGTAAAGGACCGAGAATAGAGCCCTGCGGTACACCGGATGTCACTGCTAACGGTCTTGATGTTGCTCCACCAATTGTTGTCTGTTGATTACGTACGATTGCTGAGGTAGGATGAAAACCAGTTGAGAAGGTTACCTCGAAACCCGAACTTGTGTAATCGGTGCATGAGCTGAGCGTGACTTACTTTATCAAATGCCTTCGACATGTCAAGGTAAATCACGTCTATCTGCTTACCGTTGTCTAATTTCCGACCTATCTGTTCGAATACTTCGATCAGTTGCGTTACGCATGACTTTCGTGGAACAAAACCGTGTTGGCAAGGGTTGATTTGTTGAAAAACATGATGTTGGATGTTATGGAAAACGCAACGCTCGAGGACTTTGGAGATAAGGGAAAGCAACGAGATTGGACGGTAGTTCTCGACATAGGATTTCTCACCCCGTTTGTGTACTGGTACGACATTCGCTAATTTCTAATCATCTGGAAGAACACCACAACGTAAAGATTTGTTGAAGAGAGCGCAGAGTGAAGGAGCGATTTGAGATGATGTTTCCGTCAACAAACGTGCTGGGATTCCGTCTGGACCATGAGCTTTGTTCATGTTATTTAGATTAGTTAATACGGTTATTACTTCGTCGTTAGTCAGTGTTATGTCTTCTAAAACAATTTCTGGATCCGAGTGTTCTCCTAGATTGTAGTCACTATTGTTGTCATGCGTAAAAATTGAGGCGAAATATTCGTTAAAAGTGTTCGCAATGTCTACGTTGTTGTTGGAATACATTCTTTGATTTTCACTAGATTTAACCGAGACTTTTAACGGAATATTAGATACCTTAGACTTAATCTTGAAAAACGACCAGAAATATATATATACAGGTATATGTATAGGTATATATTTATATATATACAGGTTCATAAGTTAGGATCGTAAGATGACCGTGTGAGAAGAATGGGAATTGAGAGCCTATTACCGCGCTCATTAGACAATCCTTTGTTACGAACGCCAAGTTTCGTACTATACGCGTTAACCAAGTGCCTTCATGTTGACGACACTTCTCCCAAGGCCAAGGGACTGAATTGTTCGCTGTGAAATCAGTATCAATTTAATTCTTCCAACAGAGATCACTGACACGTTAGTTTGTTGTTCGCTATAAAATCAGTATCTATCAAATTAATTTAATTCTTCCAAGTGAACAGAGATTTCCTAGCTGAGACGTTAGTTAACAAGAGACAATGGCAATGTTCATGTTACAAATCTTGTAGCTTAGTGTAAATATCTGGAGTCGTTGTAACTGCTTTCTACGTTTTTAGCTACTATTTTGTAGTTTAATTAACAATTATTCGCCGAAGGCGAGGTGATTATTGGTGAATAAAAACCGAGACGAAGTCGAGGTTTTTATTCACGATAATCACCGAGCTTGAGGTGAATAATTGTTTTAGTATAATTTCATAGGTGATTATTTGGAAAAAAATAAGAAAATACACATTTCTTCATCATTTAATTGACAAAAAGGCTTCGGCCGCCATTTTGAAAATCGCTTAGGTGATTATCGCGTAATAATCACCTCGACGGCAACCAATCAGCGTGGAGAATTTTCAATAATCACCTATGTAATTATACTAATAATAGTTAATACACTATTTTAAGGGGCAGTTAAACAATGGGAAATGACAAGTTTGCTTTGCGCGAAATGTTTGCCTGCGAATCGGGACCGTTTCAGAACCAGAAATCTGACCGGACTGACGCGTTTGTTCTTTTGATTTGGCAAAAGAAGCACGACAAATGGCAAATTTGCACGGTGCCCGTTTGCAAAAACAAACTACGAACCGCTCTAATTCTTTCTGTTGATCATTTGATCCCTTCCGTGAGTCGGCCTCAGAGGCCTTTGATTAGACTGTTGTAATTTCGTATTCTTTGTATTTTAAACTTAACCCTAACCCTTACTCTAATCCTAACCCTTTCCCTCATCCAAACCCTAATCCTAACCCTATAAAAGTCTAAAAATAGTAACTCCCCCTAAAACGTGACTCATACGACTGTGGTTAAACTGGCTCCATGGTTTAAAGACGTTAAAACCTATATTTTGCCCCTTCAGTTGTTATAGGCTCTAAGAATAGGAAATGCAAGTATTCCTCCTACCACTCCAGGCTGGTAAATCAAAGTTAACATAAATTCTTGTGTTTGTTTCACATTAGGATTATATAGATGAACTCCAGGGGCAGGCTTCAGTTATGCCTGGGAGTAAGGTAAGGATTTCAAAATTGATACTGCGAGTAGGGATGAGTTGACCAAGGTAATTCGATTGAAAAGTTCAAGTATAATATCTGGGTAATTCAAGATGTAATTGGCCGTTTTATCCTGTCTTCGTGTAACACTATGTCTGCGCTTACAGAAACAACTTACAAATTGGTAGGTTTTACTAAGCACTAAAACTGAAGATCAAAGCTAGATCCCGTCAATTCTAACAGATACAGAATGAGGTGTTACTGCCACGTTTTTGACAACGTTCTAGATATCGAGTAGTGGCTATACACAGACGAGATTTTACAAAACTCATCAACACTATAGAATTAAAACTCATTGTGATGTATGCATGTTCAAATTCGCCAGAGAAAATATCATTGTATGTTAATTAATAAATTCAGACCATGTATATTCCTTTACGACAAGAAAGAATTTGAAATTGGCCCCATTGCCTACATTAAAGCCTTTATTTTAAAATCGTGAAGGAAAAAGCCGAGCTTGGGCCTGGGGACGAGGATGAGGAAAAAGCTGATATTTGAGCACAGGCCCCTCACTAGTACCCAGTCCTTGAATGAGGTTTGGAAAATAATGATAATGAATCACGTACCTCCACTGATCAATAATTGTATGGATTTAATTTAACAATGACGACTGGTAACAAGTTAGCGAAGACCTCTGTCTGAAGCTAAATATCTTCCTCTAAATAACTTACTTCCAGGCAAAATGGGCTAGAAGCATCTGCGGTTTTTTTCCCATTTACCAGGTGTTATACTCATGACATCTTGCTATCATAAATTTTCTTCTCCGGATTCGCCCGAATATCTCATAGCATATATAAATAAGAAATGATAGTAAAGACTGACAAACATTGTTATTTTCAACTTTAGTTAAAACATAATATTCTGAGGATACTGGCTGACTATAAATTCGTGTGCGCTGAGAGGGAAGAGGTAAATGCATCTAAAGGCAATTTTCCATTGCAGTCGCTTTGCCCGCGCGGGCGGAGCGAACACTACTCAACTTTCTCTGTATAGTTGCCTAACCTGTGCATTTTTTGTCCGCCTGAATGCTCGCGGACACGTCATGAAAGTATAGAACTACATTCAACTTTCTTGGCGTACCCGGGCGACTGATTTTTCACGTGATTAAAATTGTTTTTCTTTTGTTTTAGCTTCTACAGGCAGTGCAGGAGGTAAGTGAAATAGACTTTCCTAGTTACACAATTTCGTAAGAACATCGTTTAATAACAAGTAATTAAATTCTCGATAAATGAATAATTTCGAGTTACCTGCAGGTAAGTGCTCCATAGAATCCAAAGTTCAGCACTTCTTCTTTGTTCAATTATAGAGCATGAATGCACAGAGGAGCTCAATGAGAGAGGTACGTCTTGTAGTCGGTATATATTCGTGTATAGGTTATTATTCTATAAGAATTTTTGAATTCTGCAGCTCAAGCATTATCATTGCATTTTCTTGCTACAATGCATCTATAACCAATCATTGCTTTCAGTTTCAGCTGAACAAAGCTTTGACGCTTCAGTCACATGTAGTGACGAATTGTAGAACCTTGCCTTGTTTAATTTGTGTGTTTGCCAGCGTCTACTGAGAAATATCGAAGATATACTTCATTACATGATCTAACACACGCCTTCAGTGTTTAATAGATTTTGCCACTTCAAGGGGGGGGGGTCTATTAAAGAGGGGCGTTTATTATTAATGCAGCTAGCACTTTGCAGCAGTTCAGAGTGAACACTAGTCAAAACTCTTCAACATTCATTGCCATATTGCATTTCATTATATTCCAACACTAGATCATCAACGGTAACCGTGCATGTATTCGCAATCAAAGGCGTTAAAATCATCGAGAACTTTAAAAATATTTCAATCTTTCTCATGGCCCTTATCTATTCTTTCCCCCATGCACATTACATATGTCACTGTTTCATTTGAAAATCATATTGTTTAATTTTACATTATATTTAGGTGCCGACATTTTTCGACGATGATGATGATGAATTTGATTTTTACACCTCGGACACTTGCCTTAGGTAACATACAGTATTAATTTAGTGGTTTTTAAACCATTTAAGAAATACAACATTTTAGACAATAACGTCCAAGAGTGTGGCATTACAACTCAATTAACAAGCTAATTAATATCTTATCGGTGTTTTGCTTTATTTAAAGAGGATAACATAAAATATTTATGGAAAATACCACGTATATATTCATTATTGCAAAGCTTTACGAGACTTTTAATATCTTTATAATAAAATTTGCATGTTAAAATGAACGTTGATGATAGTGAGAGGGGCAATCATTTAATCCTTCCAAGAAAATCGCGATCGTTGGACGTTTATAACCAGCTAGTGAAGAAATCACTCCAATACGTAAAGCAGTAACATCGATTATAGAAACAGTTACTCAGGATATTTAAGCTGACGAGATCGATTGTGTTCAACTAAAATCACTGATGTTTTTTTCTAGAGATTACACGAAAACGCTACGGTGGTTTTCAGACAAGTTCAAGGACATGGATGCCAAAGTATGCTTGCTAAAGAAACGAGAGTTTGCTTCTAAAGGGTATACCTACACTCATATTTTATAGTGTGGTTTGTTACGTATTGGGAGTCGTGTCCCCGATGCCCTGACTGCTAATGCCCTATTGCGATGCCCAAACGATGTTTGACATCGCTCTGTATTCGCAGCGTGAGTTTGTTCGTCTTAAGGCGCAATTCCAGTCCTCGCACGAAACTCCTCGCAGCTCGCTGCGAGTGCTTGCATCTAATTAAAATTAACTCTTAAGCATTGTGATTGGATGAAAGTGCTCATGCATGCACTCGCAGCGAGCTGCCAGAAGCTTCGTGCGAGGACTGGAATTGCGCCCTTAGTTTGGAATCATATATAGTCTATATATAAGCATTGGTATTTAATATTCAAGAAGAGTAATAACTGCATGCATGTATAGGTCTTCGCGCTTGTGGTGAACTTGTTTGCGCATGCTTCAGGGGAACACGCTGTAGTACTCTGATCTCTTTTCATTTGTTCAGTTGATAAATATGAGATACAGTGTATACTGCATACATATTAATGAGTTTTTAAAACCCTGAGTATTTAACGCTTACTGGGACCAAGAGAAACAGCGCGTTTTGTGATCACCATTCCTCGACTTTACTTCTTATCATAGCAAATTTCAAAGAAAAAAGTATTGCAATGTAAACTGTTTCATTTTCGTTTAATTAACTTTCAAAATTAACGACAATTCTGTAACTGCAACCAAATTTCGAGGTCCGTCACATTTTATGCAAAGACCCTATCAGAGTCAACCAAGGAGATATTGGGTCCCAGTTGCACGATACCGGATCAGATTTCATATCGGATTGTCTAACCAGTCCGATACAAAATCAGTTACGTTTTCGTGACACAATACCGGTTTGAATATTTAGATCACAATACAATAACAAAAATTCGCGTGGACTTCAACGCAACAACGAGTTTTCGTCGAATATTTTATTGTTTTATTAAAACACTGGCTTTTTAGAAGATAGGGTAGCTCGAGGGGTAGCTTAACTGACAGATTAACGTTTTGGAATCAAAAGAAGTCTAAGTACAGCATTACTTCTGGCACAAAAATAAAGATATTTTGAAACCAAAATTCGGGATATAAAGTTGATACGTTAGGACGTTGTTCAGTAGTCCGGCTGTTCGGAAACTTCGCAGAATCAAAAATATGTCGACAGCAATCCCACTGAACGAAAACGCCCAAATATAATAACAGGATACTCAACACTGGCCATGCAATATGCAATATGAAAATTGTTTAGTCTTTAGAAAATATATTTTAACGTTCCTTGAAATAGGAAGAAGCTTGTGGAAGTAAAATAACGAATCCGAACGTATATCGGATTCGATCAACTAGTTACATGATGCTCGTAACTTTCCGGATTAATTTTCAATTTTTCATATCACTTCCAGAAGCCAGGAGTGATTTTTAGTTGGTGGTATGTACCGAATTGCCGTAGCATCGTTTAACCAAAACGCATTCTGATACGGATTGTAATCCACTACAAGAGTAATCCGGTATCATCATTTTTTCAAACATGTACAGCTATTTCAATTAAGGTTGTCCACGAGCAAAGCGGAAAAGTCGAATACGAGCGCGATAGGCTGCTGGGAATCGCTTTGAAAATTCATTAATTTGTTAGCGATTCCCAGCAGCCTTTTGCGCTCGTATTCGACTTTTCCGCTTTGCTCGTGGACAACCTTAATTGAAATAGCTGTATATATCGTGATATCGGTGCTTAACTATAGGACTCTTAACGGAGCAGTAGGTGGCATAGGACTCTTAACGGAGCAGTATCATCATTAAACTGTCGTGCTTTCTATTCTGGACTATATGACTCTTTCAAAATTTTAGAGATAAGAAACGAATGAAGAAGGAAAAGCAGAAAGAAAAGGGTAACTCTTATACTATACAGGGTGTATATTTAGTGTGCTGTTGTGCCCTCAATATTTAATTTTTTCATATTAATATAATGATATAAAGAAAGGTATCATTGTATGCACAGCTAAAAGCCTGAATATTATTACTGTGTTACTTTATTAAAACTTGTATCGATAAACTCAATATCTAACGTACATGCATGAACATGCTAAAGTTGGATGACCTTTTTTTCCTACACCCTGCATGCAGTATATTTCAGTTGTGTGGTTTCACGTTTTGCTATCTGCATGCATGCATGCATGTATGGTATTTGTTTTGCCAAAGCCAACGGCAACCAGCATACAAGTATATTGTGAAAATAATAAAATTATCAAGAGATGAAAAAAAAATGTAAATGTTGTGTCATGACATATAAAATCTTCGTGCAATTTTATACGTAAATAAGCAATTCACTCATATATTAAAAAACAAATATTGAAAAATTTAGTTCAGTAACAATATTTCTGTTTTTATCAAGCATATTTTAAATGTGCCATTTTAAATTTAAAATATAATGAACTCAATCGCCTTTTCACCAGTTGGTTTTCGTGCCCGAGTAACAGCTATATAGAGTCTTGGATTTTTCATTGTCCATTAATGTCGCGAACTTGTTTTTTGGGCTTACTTGTAAGAATTGTTTTGAATAATTTAGCTAAAGCTGCTGAGAATGTGGAAAAGTTGGAACCAGTAAACAGTAAGGAACGTTTGGAAACATGGAAATTCGCTGCGGAAGAAATTGTTCATTTGTTGAAGACAGTTCGTCAAGAAGGAGAGGGAGGTACTGCCAATTCAACAAAGGCTCGATCTAGCTTCCACGCACAAAACCAACACGCAAGCCCTGCACTGCGATTGTTTGCATCTAATTGAAATCTGCCGAGCATTGTGATTGGATGAAAGTACTTGCAGTGAGTTTGTGATGAGTGAAAAAGAGTCTTAGGAGATGTTCAGATCTGACTTCCACTACCATTACTTTTCACTGACTTAGTACGAATCTGATTGGTTAATCGGATATATCAAATGCGTCTGATTGGTTAATAGTTCCTGAACTCTCCATATTTTCAAGTAAATCGTGAAGGGATCTCTAGTCACCCGACCCACTGATTTGTCAAATCATATTCCTAGCAGCAAGATTTCTGGGCCAAATTCTATTTCCCAGTTGTCCAAATCCCCTTTTCCCTGCAGTGAAAAATAGGTAGGCCTACAGTAAATCCCGTGTGACCGTGTCCATACTATACCGACTCATTTTTCAAATGCGTTGTGTGAGTATTTTAAGTATCTTCTGCAGATGAAATCGAGTTGGGTTTTTTTTGTTTGTTATATAAAAATCTTGAAAAAGTTGTTTTTCGTATTTTGCTACGCTTTAAATAATCTTCGTATTCATTATTCATATAATCAGCTAAGTAGTTTTTAATTTATCTAGTCTTGAACAGGACGAGTTTTGTTTTGTAACGTTGCAGAGGAAACGTTTTCCCCCACCATGTCCACCATGCAGTAACTTCTTCCATCACTGAATGCCATTATGGAAGAACGTCGCAAAAACAAAACTCGTCCGGTTTGTACCAGTTAAATAAAAAAAAACTGTTAACCACACAGAATCGATAAAGAACGATTCTATTTTTCATCAGGTAAAGATGTTTTGGCCAGCGAGTTGCAAAAGATCATGAACATTATGAACAAACAAAACGAGGAGATAGAAAAGTAAGTGGAACTAACAGTACTTTGAATTGCCAGTGTATGAATGCAATCTGGAATATGCTTCGCTTTTTTATTGTGCATGAGCAATACTCCAATAGGCTGTAAATATACCAAGTGTACGAGTGAAATCTATCCGCGATCATCCTCGAAGCATTTGACTCGAGATGATGTCCGTATAGGCTGGAATTTGACGCAAGGTCATTCCGCTCGGTCGGGCATTTGAGTGATTTGACCATGTACACCAAATTGTTCAGCTTTCCCACATAAAAATATATATCATCTGGTGCTTTGATTGCCTCTTGGTTGTTGTTCTCGCTCTGAGCGACATTATGTCGTTATATAAAGTATGGAATGTGAACAATTTTCTGTCTATCTTTTCTTTCAATATATACACCACAATTTCTATTATCTTTACTAATTGAATTAAACTTGTTTAATTAAATTTTGGCAGCATTGCCGACTGCCTCTATATGACTATTACAGGACAGTTGACTGTATTTTCCGCCCCCATGCACTTCGGGGAATTTGATTCAAACGCCCTGGGGTTTGCCTGGAAGGCATTAACGCGTGATGGATTTGATTCGTACATGAAGTGCATTCATATAGTGCTCAAACATCCACGAAATGTGTTGGATACATACAGTAAGCTCCATTATATCTGTATAAGTTCTCACTGCGATCACTTACATTTAAATTAATACTGAACAAAACGCCAGCTCACAAAATTGGAAAAACTGGTAGACTGCTCCAAAACATAGATACGTAATGTGCAAGGTCTGAAATTTAATTATTTTATCAACACCCGTTCCCAAAATTACGAGACCTGCCTGAAAATATGTCAGTTTTATACACAGTTTTATGTCAAGCGAACCATTTTATTGCAATCATCTCCCCCCTATATAAACTATATGCAATTATAATAGGTCTTTGGGACTGTGCGTATGCCTATATGGGCAATTAAGATGTACATTAAAGGAGCTGAGATTTACGTCCTAGCCTATATATGTGTAAAATACCTGACGTGTTTTTATAGCGTTACTCAATATTAACTAAAGGGAGTGTTATATAAATATCAATCTCAGTTTGACGATTGAAGTCTAAATTGTCAAATAAAATTATTGTTTTGCAAATTTTCTTTAGGAAAACAGAGTTGCTGAAAAAAGAAAAGGAGGTAAAATTTTTACCTCAGAGTAACCATAATTAGAAAACAAATCTTCATATATTTATTACGTTTAAAATTGTTATTAACTGTAACTTAATCAAATACTAAATTGACAAATTGTTTACTATTTTGAGTTTGATTATGCCCCTTTTTCAAATTTTAATTTGAAGATGCCTTTTACTTTTACAATACTGTAAAACACGCACGGCTGCAAAATTATCGCTGAAAAAGGAATTAATTCCAATTCCAATTACTTGCTTTAAAATATAATAAATTCCTGATTACAATTACTTGTTCTAAAATGTAATTAAGTACAATGAAAAAATTACTCCGGAAAAAAGGAATTAATTACAAATTCCTTTACCGGCAAATTGTTACTATATATATTATAAGACAATATCTTAAACAGTAGTTGTAAATAAAAACGGTATAAACTATGAAATTTGCAAGAATTTATCAAGATGATATTTCAATATATTAAAACATTTGACATGCAAATCGAAGCATGTAAACTTAAAACTTTATTTGCCAATATTTGGCGCTCCGAGCCTCGGAAGAAATTGTGGTTTTCACTTTCGCAATAAATAGTATTAGTATAATTACATAGGTGATTATTGAAAATTCTCCACGCTGATTGGTTGCCGTTGAGGTGATTATTACGCGATAATCACCTAAGCGATTTTCAAAATGGCGGCCGAAGCCGTTTTGTCAATTAAATGACGAAGAAATGTGTATTTTTTATTTTTTTTCCAAATAATCACCTATGAAATTATACTAAAACAATTATTCACCTCAGGCTCGGTGATTATCGTGAATAAAAACCTCGACTTCGTCTCGGTTTTTATTCACCGATAATCACCTCGCCTTCGGCGAATAATTGTTAACTACTTCATGTAGGCTATCATGTCATGTGATCTCGTTGAAAATAAGCTCAGCCATTTTTCTGAATTTTTGTCGTAACATTGTATTTTTTATTTCTTAATTTTACAAGATAAGAAAGAAAAGGAATTTTCAATTTGTTCCTGGAAAAAGGAACACGTTCCTTGCTTTTGTAATTAATTACGTTTTTCATTACATTTCTAAAAACGTAATTAATTACAGGTTAAAATTACTTCAAATGTAACGAGTACACAGTAACGCGTTACAATTGTAACGAGTATTTACAGCCCTGAAAACACGGGTAAATATTGCTGTTTTAACTTTGCGGGTTGAGCTTCTCAAGAAACGAAAATCCACTAAAGAGGTCAGCTTATAGTGGGTAGATGGAGCAATGAAAAAGAAGATTGTTGAGCATGAAATTAATGATACAGCCCCGGCGGTAGAGTGTTGAACATATAAAGTTGAGGCGGACGATTTGCAGTTATTTATAATTTTCTATTTTACTGCAGGCAACCCTTAGGGTGAAACAGAATCGTGATAAACTGCAAGTTCAAATCGGAAATTTGGAGGGCAAACTCAAGTCCAAACAGAACGAAGTCGCGACATGTAAACAGGTACATAAATTTCACTTGAGCCGCAACACAGTGGCGTAGGAATTAAGGGGGACACTGGGGGCACGTGCCCCCCAAGTTTTCAAATCAAAAGTGCCCTTTTTTTGGTGGCAAAGTGTCCTTCTGACAACGTTAACAATTTCGTTGAGATCGAAAAAATTATGATATTTCCGGAAAAAGTTTTGTTATTTTCGGAAAAAATTATATGTCCGGATAACATTTCCGTGAAAAATTTTTTAGGTTCCCTTTTCTTTCGAAAAGTGCCCCCCCCCCCCCCAACTTTTTGATGTTTCCTACGCCCCTGCCGCAACACGGTGTTCATACATGGCAGTTAATTAAACGGAACTTTACATTTATCACCGAGCCACCCCAAATCGCAAACTATTGTAGTCTAGCCAGAATAAAAAGCAATGATTTATATGTATGGAACTAACTTGTGACGGGCGGTGTATGACAAAAAATGCATTGTATTCCCAGCACATGCAGATTGCTGAATGAATGACAAAAAAAAAATAGTTTACACAGCTATTATATTTTTGTTAAACGCAACATTCAGTTTCTTTAATCACCTTTTGACTTTTCCTTTATGCCGAATGAGTTTTTCAATCACCAAAATCATCCCTCCAGGCTCTTTCTGTTCCATCACTGCGAAACTGGAATAAATGTTCCCTATAAATTAGGTTGTTCCTGTGCCCATGCGTTAACTTGATTATAATTAACATTCATGAAAACAATGAGGAATTATATTTAAGGTGGCGCGCCCAATACAGTTTTTAAAAATATGGAAAATTTACTATTGAGATCCGTATTTTTGGTAGTTGGACAATTACTACTTTTTTAGAAACAAATAATACCTTAGATATGTAAAACAACATCTAAAGAGTTCGAATTCTTTCACAAAAATATACAACTACGACTGCCGTTGCTATGGCAACAATGACGTTTCAGTATGGCGGATATTTTGGCTTTAAAGTAATTTTTTTTAAGTTAACTCGACAGACAATATATCGGTGACCCCCAAATTTTATTTCATAACATATTTTCTCTTAGTATATTTCACAATTTTAAAATATTCTGTTAACCCAAAACTTTTAATGTCGCAATTTATTTCCCCTGGTCTGTGGAAAACACCACGTATATATTCGTTTTTACAAACCTCTCGAACAGGCCTGGGGCGAAACTTCGGTATTCCTACTGGGGGAGGGGGGGGGGGGTGAGCTTGTTTTGCCGACCAAAAGGGCGTGGCCGAAGTCGTTCCCGACGGACGAACATTTCAGTCGTTTCACTATTACTTTTCAATCCGAGACACTCAAATATTTTCAAAAATTGCCCTCCGAAATTGTATGGATATACCCGACGAGATATAGTTTCGCCCCTGCCTTCGAATTGTAAGCCCAGATCTTTATCAGTAGCCTTTTAATTAATAGATGACTTGTTTAATTAATTCGCACTTCTTATATACTAAAATCCTGGCTTGTACATGCAGCTCGAGGTTTGCAGTAATAAATATAAGTGAAGTTTCCCACAAGCCAAGAGATATTGTTTTATCGCCATGCAAACTTTGAAGGATGTATGTAATTTGTCGTTGTTTAGTATATTCAAGACATTGTAAAGAAAATGAAGGAGTCTCCAGGTGGAATAAAATTTTCCCTTGAAGGCATGGAAGATGATTTGCAGGATGAGGTACGGATAAGCTACGGGACAATTTCAGGTCTTGCCGATTGTTAATGACGAATGTTGTCAGTTGACGATGTCATCAGATGACGTTGACAATAAAGGGTAATTTATTGGATAAACTGAAACATCTTATATGAGAGGCCAAGTTGCATGCACTCTGATGGCATATTTGTTACAAGCTGCCAACTGCCATTTATGTTAGCACCTCTGATTTTGACTTTATAGCTGAAAATTTAAAAAAATAATACTATGTTGACAAAAATGAAAAAATTTCAAATTTACTTTTCACAAAAATAAACTATACCATTAGAAAGATAGCAAAAAGCACATATAAAACAGAAAAACGAGTGGTGCGAGTTTTCAAGTCGGTTTTGAGTTAGATCAAAGTTAGCAGAATAGTAACTTTTAGTATAAATTAGTGCATCATATAGCTACTACTCGCTGTAAATGTCTCATAAACATACTTTTTCGCGAATTTCTAATGGTAAAGTTTATTTTTGATAAAAATGAATTTCGGATATTTTAATTTGCATTTTTGTCAACATATTACTTTAATAGACATATTTTAAAATTCTCAATTTTTTCGGCTATAAAGCCAAAATCAGAGTTTCCCAACATATATAGTCAGAGTTGCCAACCAGGGGCGTAGGAACCGGGGGGCAGGGGGGGGGTCAGGCCCCCAAGTTTTGCCAATTGCCCTTTTTCCGGGAGCAAAGTGCCCTTTTCTTGCGTGTAAAATGTTTTAAGGATTGCCTTTTTTTGCCCAAAGGGCACTTTTCAAAACTTGAATTTCTGTTATTTTCCGGTATGTGCGGAAAATATTTTTTGGTATGTCCAGAAAAATTTTTTGAGACCTATTACGCTCCGCGCCTATTAGATACGTGGCGTCTATTGTATACAAGAGGCTTTTATTAAATCGTTTACGGCAAGGAAGTTTATTTTAAAGAAAATTAACAAATTGAGTAACTAAATAACATTTCAGTTTGTCTTTCAGAATAACCTATAAATTACACCATTATACATGAGGAAACACCAAAAATCTTGCAGTTCCTGCATGGTTATTGTATTGCATGTTCTGCGCTGTGTCTTTTCCATTGTTGTGTGAAATTTGGTAACGAAATGTTGTAAAGCTTGGAAAATATAGCCTTGCGAAGTTTGCATATTTTCAGTATGTTTGTATTACGTGCGGAAATTGTTACAATTTTCAGCTCAAAAATGGTAACAATTAGCTAGGTAACAATTTCCGCACGTAGCCTAAGGGACCGGTCATTATTTATGGCGGGGGGTGGCACCGAAGAGAAATGTTTTTCGTGGCAAACATTTTGCTGACCCAACCATTAAAAAGTCAAAAATTTGATTACCCAACCTCAAATATCAATTAAAAAATAAATACCCACCCCTGGCCAAAAACTTTACAAGCGGATACCATTCAGTTGTCACACATGTCCTTTACCACTTCTGTGACATGATTTTGATAACTGCATGCTTGTGAAATTTTCTGAAGTCTAAAGTTTCATGTTGTCTGCACATGTACTTCTTTGGAGACACCATTTGCCTCCCAACAAATCGGAAAATGGTCAAGAGAGTGACTCTGATTGATTCACATATTGTATATATGACTGTTCACATTGCTTTTTAGTCTCCAATATTTCAGTGAGTCGTGCTTTGGAAATGACAATAAATTTTTATTACCCAACTCTCGAGTTGTTTTGTTTTTCATTTACCCAATCTTTTACTCACTCAAAATTTTGTTTACCCAACCCTTTTCTCTTCGGTGCCACCCCCCACCATAAATAATGACCGTTCCCTAATACAAACATACTGAAAATATGCAAACTTCGCAATGCTATATTTTCCGTATTTTACAACATTTCGTTACCAAATTTTGAAATTTTAATAATAAGTTCTTTACGGGAATTTACTTTTTTTGCCTAGATCAAAAATTAGTCTAATATGCAAGTTGTCTATTGAGGACAACTTTTCCAACTTTGACGATTTCGAGAGAAACTTACAAAATGACTTTGGGCCTGTTCATATGGGCAAAAGTTATCCCGGTTAACGAGAGAACTTTTCGACTAGCCAAATACTTTTGTTCTGTTCATATGGAGAAATATTATCCTACTTACCGGGAAAAGTTTCCGGCTGTGACGTAGCACTGAACATCAATTGAATTGAAAAGTTGCTGACACGACAAAAAGTTATCCCGCTAAGCGGGAAAGTTGTGTTCATATGGGGAAAACATTATCCCGGTCACCGAGATCTCGCCTGTCAACAAGCGAGATCTCGGTACACGGGAAAACTTTTCGTCTCATATGAACGCAATGTAACTTTTCATATTATTTTCGTAACAAGGCGAGATCTCGCTCGTAAACTTGTCGAAAAGTTTTCTCGCTAACCGGGATAACTTCTGCCCATATGAACAGGCCCTTAATCTTTTCGTATAGGCTATAGTATTTAATCATCTATTTGTCTTATACTAATATATATATTATAATATGTTTATTTCCATATACATTAATATTAATGTATGATTTTCACTATTAGCTACCCAAAGTGATGAGGCGCCGATTCACCTTAACAGATTCATCTTTGGAAGGAGATTTTGCCGAGATGAAATTAAGAGATTCTCAGAAAAAAGCAAGTGATTTGGAAGAGGTACCATGTATCTTAATGGTGTCTACCATTAGAGGTCATATATAGATTTTTAAATTTACAGCAATTGGGGTTATTGGCTAAACCGTACTTGTCACGTTAAACAGAATTCCATGACGGAATCTCGAAAGGATTTTAAGATTGTTTTAATTTTTACAAAATATTCGAAAGATTTCATGATAAAATTATATCATGAACAGACGCTCTTTGGAAGAAAATTGCACAATCATGTTGTTGAGGTTTTAGTGCAAACCCCATTGCATGCATGCGAGCGCCAGAATTATGTTTGTTAGCAATCAAGTGTATGTCATGCCACATTTCTACTTCTACCAGTTATTTATGTTACTATTGTTGCACTATCTACAGTTGTTTTATTACCTTGGTTACCTTTTTGTAACTTCCAATCCAACCATTGTTCCCCTTTGAGCACAAGGAAAACCTCGCAAATTCTTGTTTTCCAACTCGTATCAACACGCTCTTATTTCATCCAGGATTCAACCATTTGTTATAATAAAAACCGAAAATCTTGATTGTTGACAAAAAATTCGCGATCTTTGATGCTAAAGATGTTTGTGCACATGTGTTATGGGTAGCTCTTATGCTCAACATGACTATTATGAACGGAGTTGATAATGAACTGGGATTGCAGTTGGGTTCATGAAATATGCTATAGTTGTATGATATAATTATTTTCGCCTCATTCCAGTGTACGTTTTTCCAGTTTGCCTCCACCAGTGAGTTATACATCACCTTGTTCTGGGGGGGGGGGGGTTATACTGTGGAGAGTTTACAACGAACTGATGAAGCTATATACCCTATATCTACAAGCTATAGTGAAACATTTGAACGTTCTCGGCGTAAAACCTTAACATTTTCATATTCTTGTAGGAAAATTCAAGACTGCAAGAAGAAGTAACAAAGCTTGGAGAGGCTATAGTTCAAAAGGTATACATGTTGGTTTAAGTGGACTTGCCTTTGCAATTGCCGGTACTCGTCATTGTAAGTTTTGAAAAACGAATCATGCTTACCTTCATTTCCTTATTGGAGCGGATAGGTTCAGATTTGACTTAAATATACTAGTAATTCCGACAATACGATTCATGAAGAAACAATGTACAGAACCGATTTTTTGTTTCTTATTTCTCAGAACCTAGCATAAAAAGATAACATAACCAGTGAGAGATAAATCTAGCACGCTTAGAAAATACAATTTAGTGTGCATGGATATCTATATCCAACTTTAGGGACAAGTTGTAATGAAAGGGCAAGGTAGCTTTCTACTACTGTATATCTTGTAAACGACTGAGCAGAAATCAATATATTAATCAAATGTAACTTGATATATACTCAACTTGATATATATATAAGCTACATATGTTGTGTGAAAATAGCATTAAGTTTCTGATTTAATTAATTTTCTGATTTAATTAACTCGTTGATTTTCTAGGATAGAGACTTTATCGAATTAAAGGCGATGTTTAGTGAAGGTGAAGGAATAGCATGCCCAAGGTGTCTAAGATTAACTTGTACATCCGGTTCTGAAAATGACACACTCTCCCCAGACAAAGACAGATTGGAGGTTCTGGAGCAAATGTTGCAGGATAGTGAATCGAAACTAGAAACTACAGTCGTGGTAAGAAAATATCTTCTTTCCTTTTAAGATAACGTCGCCGTATAACTCGATCTGTTCCATCATCCTTTGGTGGGTCCATCTCGTTCAATAATCATCTTAATTTCATCATTCTATCCGCCAATTATGTTTTCCTGTCAATGGTTTGAACTTTTGGTTTTTGCATTTTTCACCCAAATCATCGTCCAAACTATCTCATTCTTGGTTCTCTTCCTGTCCTGGCTATATTTTGTACTGCAGCTCTTCTTTTAACCTCCCCGTGTGTAAAATGTTCTCGAAGAGATATTCCTTGTATGTATCGTAGATATCTGAATCAGTTCATCTCGGTTCTCACTAAATATGCCCTACTAATATATACTCTCACTCTCTCATTCTGGCCTGGAAAAATCCAGCTATATATATATATATGCCCATAGCTTCACCTTCATGTCATTTCAATTATTTTCGCTCTCTTGCAGCAATTAAACAATTTTGTATATTATATACTGTATATCATACATATGTGGATTACTCTGTGCCGTTTGTGCATGGCCCATTTTCGAATTATATCATGTTAAAAACCTGTTGGTTGCCGAAGTGCCTAACCTGAAGTTCAGGCCATGCATGAACTAGGGCCTGAACTTCAGGTTACGAAGTGCCCAAATATCTCTTACGCAGTGTCTTTATGTTTTGTTAAGGAACTAGCCAGAATGCGAATAAATTTGGCTGCATCAGGAATAACCTTACCTAATTTGGTTAATGTGGGCAGCCAAACACCAGCAGATGACGAAGAAAGCGAGAGTGAGGACGAACCAGACCAACGTGGCTTTTCCCATTCCAGCTTGAACGAAGAAAGTGATGGTTCAAGAGCCGGTAGTCGTTTAGTAGCAGAGGTGGTAATCACCGAACCATCGCCATTAGTAGGAGATAGTATGGACGAAACAGATGTCTTGAGTCCCCAGACTATCCGGAAAAGTAGCAAGAAACAGAAACGAAAAAAACAGACGAGAAAGGATCGTTCTAGAAAGCAAACTGCAAGCCGCTCACCATATCCTGATGTTAACAGGGATGATGGACGATATGACAACACAAGAAAAGATGCCGACGATGACGTCATGGAAAGTACGATTTGCTCAAAGATGAGTGTGAAAATGCAAAACAAGGTAGTTTTGATACACTTATTAAACATTACGAGACAGTTTCAAAAGGTCGAAAATCATCATGTTTACCGATTTTATTGAAATAGTTTTGCGCGGAATACGGTCATGTGTTGACAGCAGTACAGGTTACCAACCCAGATTTCAAATGTCAAGTTGTGTTTTGCGACGCTTTGGTCGATCTGTTGTCGAAATATATTCGCCTATATTCGAAAACGTCTTGGCGCAAGTCAAATGCATTGTTTTACCGATTTAAAAAACATTCTTCTAACTATTATCGCCATACTCTAATTTAACGACGGCTATACCATGAAAATAAACCATTTCTTTAGTTTCAAATATGTTACGTTACGTCCGTGTCACTGCGAGGTAATATATGCGGTGCAATTGTTCTGATAATCAAAATCCCCGCCAAATTATTTTCAGCAAAAATGCTAGATTTAAAAGCTTTGGTAAAGCTCGGGTTTTCCCTCAATTTCCTCCACATTTTCACAGAAGACGCACGAAAAGAAAAGCTATGAAAGAGTGCGATTGGAGCTATATGATTTATTTCTCGTTCTTATGGGCTTTTAACGCGCAAAAATGTTTTAGCTATATACAAATGATTGAATAGTTTGTAAATTACGAAGAACGCAGCTCAACCTGAACGAGTCGTATAGGCTTACTAAAGGCGCCTCTTGCTCCCATCTTATGACGAATGTCTAACCAAGGATCACAGCTACGAATGAGAGTTAGTTTAGGATTTATCCCAACTCATCTGGACAACATTCCCTATGTGAGAAAACCGGAATACCTGGAGAAAACCACTGAAGAAATCCACGAATTTCGTTAGACCGATTCTTTCGCATAATGAGAATCGAACTTCGGAGAACCGACGATCTCAGAGCTGAAAACGCTTGTTTCCGAGAACTGCGCCACCGAAGCAAACAAGTCAATGCTTTATCGTGACCCTACTTCAGCCCTATATAATTTTTTTATACAGTTCGTGTTTATTTTCTAGGCTGTTCAAACCATCCATGGAGGTCTTAGTTCTGCTTTTGGTCGAAGTCCCCTGGCACGGGAAGCACTAAGATCCATACCTGGCAGTAGGGCAGACACAATGGAACGTATAGATGACTTGAAAGACGAAATGGCCTCGTTGGCTGGTGGAAAAATGGAATTTGATTCTGGTTGGAGAGCAAAAGTAAGTATCAGTGACGGGATGTGGTAAGAGAATGTTTCCTAGTGCTGAAGAATTGACAGACCTTAAAATATCTTTTGCAGGGCCGCCTGACAAAATGTCCGATGACGTTGAGTTTGGGTCGGACATATGTCCGATGACCTTCAGTTCAGTTTTGACTCGGAAATTAAAGTCTGAATGACACAAATGAATATCAGCACAATGTATTAATTCTAAACGGTAAATGTTGTGAAGATATTAAATATATGTGTCATTCATACTTATTTCCAAGCCAAAATTAACTTAATAGTTTTGTTTGTGGAAACGCCACGTAAATTTATTACTGCAAAGCTTTCGATCCGTACGCCCGGATCTTCATCAGTGCTAATAATATGTGTGACATATTATTAGCACTGATGAAGATCCGGGCGTACGGATCGAAAGCTTTGCAGTAATAAATTTACGTGGTGTTTCCACAAACAAAACTATTATATTTTATCACCATGCAAACATACAAAGAACTTATTCAAAATTAACTTGCTTGCAAGAACAGAAGTAAGACTTCGACAACTTAAGCCCGTTTTCCACTTCACCATTTCGCTAGCACGTCGCCGCCCCGCGCTCGATCAGCCTACGTTAAAACATTTCCATGCAGTTTACTTTTTATACAATACTCAATTGTCCTTTATTTTCCATTTACCATACGAGCCTTACTGCGGATTGATTTACGTTGGACAAAGCTACAGTTCGGTCGGACACCAATACACTCGGGTCGGACAAACAGTAAACCCCAGTTTCACTTATGTCAGACAGAAGAATGTCCGGTGGCTTCCTCACTACGTCGGACAATTTCACAATTGGGTCGGACAATGTCCGTGACCGACCGATATTTTAAGGCCTGAATTGAAGATGATGTTGATGATAGTTGCAACTCTTGTTCACGTTTGACCGCCAACTCTCATCAACTGGTTCAAATTTTGACGAGAGATGATAATTTTCCCTACGTGCAGTAATATCCATGTTAACTCTCGTCAACTGTCATACAAATCTTGTTCTCATTTGACCATGGGCAGCTTAAAAATCAGGGCCGCAACAAGACGCCTTATAATTGGGGGGGGGGGGATGTTGTATATTCATCAGTATTCATTTTCACATACCGTAAAAACAATTGCTTTCAAAAGAAATCCGTTGGGCAGAACACGGATATATGAATATGCACCCCCCCCCCACTTATTCGCGTCTAGTTGCGACAATGCTAAAATGCGTGTAGAATACACAAAATGAAGGAAATGTCAATTTATAAATAAGTTCGCCCCATTCCTCTGTCATTTGTCGCGCGCCACAAGCACTCAATGAAAAGCATTGTTTATATATATACAATACATAATGCTTATTTATAAATTGACATTTGGTTCATTGGGTGCATTCTACACGCATTTGTTGGCTGCATGCCTACGGTTTGACCGGGGCATAAGAGTTGAGAAAACTCTCATGCAAACTGTCACTTGCCAACTCTCGTCAACTCTTATTCTCGTTCGACCAAGTCTTAAGAGGAGCCAAGAGTGCCACCAATATGTCATTATACGTTCTTCTGTTATCAACATATTTGATAAATATATTTGCGGATACTATAACTTGGAATGACAATAACTTTTATATCCATATTTTCAAATTTTACTCACGTCCTTTTCAAAATACCTTTTTAGCTTAAATGAGGAAAGCGGCAGCAGATATAAAAACAATTTTACTTTTTACAATTCCCCTAACAGTTCCGGACCGGGGAGATTCGGGGATATTTTGACAACATCCAATATGCTGCATGAACACCAATTTATGCATGCTTTTACTTCATGAATATCTTTATTTCAATAAATCCCACAAATCATAGTATTCATAATTTTTTCTTAACTTATATGAATCGTTTTATATATAACTATATTTGGACTTAACGTACTAAGAAGTCATACAAGTTGCTGAGATAAGGCTAACTAAGGGGCATGAGTTTAGAGAAGGTTGATTATCAAGCGCATAATATTTCCCAAACCACCACAATCTCGCATGCCCAACCCTAACCTGCGAACGGGCATGCTCTGGGATTTCTTATTTGCAGTTTATTTTTATTTTAGTTACATAACCTGTGTACCAATATTGAAGAAGTCCTCGATGAAACTGAAACGGGAGGTAAATTTGTTTATGCAGCTAGGTGTTTACACATCTTTCACATGAAATAATTGCAACTAGTGTCGACGACAGAGTAAGAGACAAATATCCCAATGAGCATGCATGTGCCAACAGAGCTTCAATCATAATCATGTTTATTATATATTCAAAGTCTATTCTCCTTCGTGATTGGTCAAAACGCGTCGGATAGTTAATTCGCGGTATCTTGAAACCGTCGCGTTATTTCAGCTGCTGACGCCATCAGCGTGCAATAATACTTTTTTTGGACTGAGGTTCGGTCCAAAAAAGTATTATTGCACCCCGTGGTTACCAAGCCCCGGCGCGGTCCATTTTTTGCTAAAAGCGCGCGAAAATTCCATATTTTTAAAAGCGTAAACAAAATGGCTTTGCTTTCTTTCTAGCTTTTGAATATATAATAAAACAATTATTAAATTCGGTTTATAATATCGAGAATTATCAAGGCCTCGGTTTGTGTTATCCAGCTCAGCCTTCGGCTTCGGTGGATAACACAAATCTCGGCCTCGATATCATACTCAACCTCGTTCAATAATTGTTTATTATCACTTGGACGTGCAGGGAACGACCATGCAGGGAGTAGCATGCAACGTACAGTATATATACCTGTGATACCGATCATGGACATAGTTATCTTTTCAAAGGAAGCATACTGCACCAGCAAGCTGCATGCACAGTATCCCCCCATTAGGGTTTCTTTGCCGAGGGGCTGATACTCAGGCTACAGGGTTTCTTGAACCAGACCAGACACAGTACTACAGTGCAGTCCCCATGCACAAAATAAGTATCAAGGCTTAAGATTCCGAACAAACTAAGAAACTATAGCAAACTCACACAACGATGTGAAGCGATGCCTACATATAAATTTGATTGATCACCGCAACCTTGGACCTTCAACCATTGACGCCAGAAATGTGATGCTGCCCAAATCAATATCCAGTTTTTGTTACATTTAATATACCGATGTATACCACTTGTAATTATACTGGCATAATGTTATTGGCTCTGTTATCTTTTCAAATCACGGAAAAATTGCCATACATTCGTGAATAATCGAGTTATTTTAATATCACGAGGATATAGATATCTTTTAAAATAATATTACCTGCACGATAGTAACTTTGATTAATGGTCTAAAATTTTTCGTTGTTAGGCCAATTAGAGCGAATACTATCTGTTGGCATGACAGAAAGCAAGGCAGAAGACGTTGGAGATAACCATTATGATTTGTGTCCTACAGAGGAGCAGTTTGCGCAGGTTGGTCGCTTGTCCACTTACATTTAATGAAAGGATTTTATAGATCACTTCAAAGAATATTTGTACCACAAAATTGAGAAAAGACAAAACAATAGAAAGATACTCCATAAACCGACTACACTATATTGGAGGGGGTGGATACTGTCATGGCGAAACTGACTCTATCGTCTTAATATCGATTGCCAGGTTTCAAATAATGTGAATTATTTGATGTACATTCCCTTGCAGAATGCATCTAGGAAGAGAAAGAGTATATTCATGCGCTTGGTAGAAAACAATTTCCAAAGGAGTGGAAATATGCCGCCGGACGTCGCTACAATTCATGATACTTTTGGACGATACAACCGCGCGAGAAACATACACACACCTCAATACATCAGGAACATTGAGGAAGAACCGGAAATGAGTACTCCAAATACACATTTACCAGCTCTTCCAACGCAACATCGCCCAAAGGCAAGCAAACATTCATTATTTGACACTCCTGATGTTTTGCAAACGAAAGGCGAAACACCAAAGCCAACACCACCTAAAATGCCTGGAACACCGATGGAAAAAAGTAAGAAATTATCCCATGAAATGCAGCATTCAGGTAAGCGAAAATTAATCAGCATCATCCCCAACATTGAGGGCTTCCAGGGGGATCTGTGTCCCCGTGTTCCCTTGGAAATTTTTCTTTTGTTCCCTTTTCATCATGTTCCCAGTTTACACGTACCTTTGTTCCATAAAGGCCTGTTTACACTTGCAATTTTTGCTGAGATTTTCTTCTTTTGATGGATGTGAACGAGTGGAAGAGTTATGAATGTTGAGATGAGGGGACATATATTGCAGTTCGTTCACATGTATCAGAAAACGAAAATCGCACCTAAAATCGCAGCAAAATTGCAAGTGTAAACAGGCCTTAAGACTTTTTGGCGTTGTTTCCGTGTTCCCATTGTAACATAAAAGTTCAACATTATTTATCACCATAATAAGTATCGTCATTGTCATCATGATAACCCACTCTTGTATTTGTTGTATCTATTCACGATAATCGCACCGCGATTATGTTAAAACGATAATAATGTATTCTTTAAGAAGATCAAGTTAGCGAGTCAGAAAAACAAAGCACTGGAATCCTTAAACATACACCACCTAAACACTCCGACTCACATCCTCCCAGCCATCCCAAGGACGACATGAAGGGCAAGGTCAGAAAGCAGAGCTTAACGTTCAGCGGAGAGAAGGAGGTTACTGCACCATACAAAAAACCGTTTCGACTTCGCCGAAGAAGTGTTTTTGGTCATACAAATGTATTGGAAAAATTAGCTTCTGCAACAGGCTTAGATAATACTGGACTGTCGGGCGATAGTAAATACGTTGATGGAGAAAGTGACAGGTAATAAAGATAGTGACAGGTAATAAAGATTTGAAATCAATGTAATTTACAAAAATGGTGATGTCTTGAGATCCATGTATACGCCAGTTGTGTTCAAAAACTATCTCACGAATTGTCATTTTCACAGTTACAAATGTTCCCCAAACGAAGTCGAGACCACAGGACCAACTTTCTGAAAAATCAATTTTGGACGTTCTCAACTAGAAGTCGAACCCAAGATTTCTCCTTTTATCTTCAAGCGCTCTAGCCATAGCCTGAGCCGCACACGTTAAGGCCACATGACGAAGGGCCTTCGCTCAAAACGTCGAATTTCTCCTTTAAATTTCTGGCTGTACTCGTAGGCTACTCGGAGCTACTGGAATGCCCGATTGAAACGTTCACAAATAATGTCTGCATTCAACACGAGGTATCAACTGTAATCCACATAATGACACATATACGAGGTTAATGAAGGCAAGAATGATTGTCTTGCTTCTTAGCAGTGTTGAAATGAAATTTGTGGTGCCCCAATGGAGGCGAAACATTTGCATTTAAACCAGAAATTGATTATATTCTGTGAACGATTTGACATTTGTACGCCACAATACTATAGGAAGAACAATCGAAATTGCTGTACAACAACTCTCTCCAAATTTGACAGTGGCCCAGGCTAGGGACCTTGTAATCCTTCAATAGTCGGGTGTGCCTATAATCATGGGTGCATGGATGAAACACACAATCCTTTGTAGAAAATCCTTTATAAAGATGCCATTCTACTCCGCATAGACTATAGTCGTATTAAGCCCGTTCTCCACTAGGCGCGATTTTTTTCGCGCGACGCGAAGGCGAAAAACGAATCTTGGCAATATGATTGGTCAGCGAAAAAATTCGCCGCGAAAAAGTTGGATCAGTTCCTACTTTTTTACTGTTCGCACGAACAAATTCGCCTAGTGGAGAACGGGCTTTAGTCTTGGCTAGAGAGGGGGCGCCTGGCACCATTGGTGAATAGACCTTATGCATAATGACGTCACAAGGCTTGATGACCGCGTGGAATGCTGGTCTTAGTAGTCATCGCCCGGGAAAATTAAACAATTCAAAATGGCCACTATCGAAATTTTCCCGGGCGATGACTACTAAGACCAGCATCCATCGCGGGCATCAAGCCTTGTGACGTCATTATGCATGATGTCTATTAAGATTTAAGGAATGCAAAATGTATGCACTGCAGGCCTTACATTTCCCGGGTATACAGCCCTCGTGTTTAATTATTATAAAAGTGTAAATAAAATAAAACCGCAAACGCCTACCTGTGTTCTCGTGAAAACAGACTGTCAAGTTTGAATTATATGTATACATGACACGTAACAGATATTGATTTTATTTTCCAGGTTCTACGATGGTCAGCAGGAGGAATATATAAGAGCAGTTAGTCGTGGGAGAGGCAGTGAGTACGGTATAAAAGATCCCAGTACGCCCGAGAGAGCTTTGGATGCGCAACAATTAAGATACCGAAGAATGAGTAGAGGTAGATTTCGTCCATCTATGCATCCTTTTATTGGTTTAAGCGAGGAAGACCGAGCAAGTTTGACTAACATCTACAACACCAGGCAAAATGCTGGCAGTAGGTTTAGTAGAAGAATACTGAACTATGATGACGAGGAGTCTGAAATCGAAGTCGGAACATTAATGAACGATTTTCGAAGAGATAGTTTAAGAAAGGCGTTCCTTAGCTTGGGTTTGATGCATCTTAGAGGAGACAGTGATGATGTCAGAGCAGATGAACGTCTCACAATGGAAGATCAAGTAAACATCGTTGCACAAATGGCCATGGAAGGTAATTAAAATACTTCCTCGCTCAAGCGGGATTATATCTCGTATCTTGCACGCTCCCTGAGCGGTCTAACAATTTTAATTAACTGTCAAATTTATTCAATTTTATAAAAAACTTTATTTTAGTGTTAAAAGCAACATGTGATGTATTTGAAAAAAGTCGCAGACAGGTAAATTGCGCAACATATTGCAATGGTTATTTACAATGCACGCTGTCGATGATATATTTCTATGTACTATATTTACAACATGAGCGGCTGCGTTGTATCGAATACAAACTCGAGCAGAAAATGAATGGCTTGTGAAACGTCTTGATGAGAACTTTCGTATTCTTCAACAATTTAAAATAAATTAATGATATTTGGTGAGAATTTTGAACTTAAAGTTTATGTAAATCAGCATGATTTTGTATCAGATATCAGTACAAACTCCTTCACGGTCATGATTTCTTTTCTTCATGAATTATTAATGAGTTTCACAATGTGTATTCATATATTCATGCATGAGAGTAAAAATGAATTTATTAAGTATATTGATTATCATAGTATAAACAAATGAAATAAAGGACGTATTAATTCCTATATTTACCCTGTAGCGCACGCCCACGGATATATAGGCATGGCTATAGCAAAAGCGGGCGTGCAGGACTAAAAGGAGTGCCACGGATCAGATTCATCAGAATAGATTGTGCAAATAGTCGCGAGGCACTAAAATACAAATAACATCTCTGAGGAGGGGAGTGTAAAAGTTTCATAAGACCTAATCTTCGGCAGACCCAATTAATGCTTTATTCTGGTTGTAATGGTGTCATAAACTTCACTGTTGAGATGTATTTATCGTTTTCTCTTTTCAAGTCACAGTCAATACCTAATCAACAACTGTATAAAAGGCCTGACGATGAAGAAGAAGTGGAAGAGACGAGAGAAAGAGAAACAGTACGTATATATGTGCGTTTAAACGACAGAGGCGGGTTGTATGCCCGCTGCGTCCACCCATAGACAATCCAGAAGACAGGGACTGGAAACGCCTAATGTTTTGCGCGTGCCATCCGTGATGTGCTTGCGTGACGCTTGTGCCATGTGATTTGAATGGCCTGCTGCTTCGAAAACGAATAAAACGATAGATTGATATAAAAAATAGCCTATTCGATAGATTACAATCTTGTGATGTCAAATGGCTTCATTGTCAAAGACAAAACAGGTTAAGTCTGTAGTTACAGGGTTAAATTTGGCAGTATTTTCTGGAAATAATTGCTGCGTGCGCGATTTACCGATAGCACGATCCAAATTTTACATTTAGCATCACTATAAAGTAGAAATAAATGAAAATTTGGACGTATCTACCTTTGTTAGTATAGCCGCTCCACTACTACGATCCCAAAATTCAGATAATACGCTTTTTTTACGATATATTTTGCATAAACACGTATTCTTCAACAATTTAAAATAAATTAATGATATTTGGTGAGAATTTTGAACTTAAAGTTTATGTAAATCAGCATGATTTTGTATCAGATATCAGTACAAACTCCTTCACGGTCATGATTTCTTTTCTTCATGAATTATTAATGAGTTTCACAATGTGTATTCATATATTCATGCATGAGAGTAAAAATGAATTTATTAAGTATATTGATTATCATAGTATAAACAAATGAAATAAAGGACGTATTAATTCCTATATTTACCCTGTAGCGCACGCCCACGGATATATAGGCATGGCTATAGCAAAAGCGGGCGTGCAGGACTAAAAGGAGTGCCACGGATCAGATTCATCAGAGTAGATTGTGCAAATAGTCGCGAGGCACTAAAATACAAATAACATCTCTGAGGAGGGGAGTGTAAAAGTTTCATAAGACCTAATCTTCGGCAGACCCAATTAATGCTTTATTCTGGTTGTAATGGTGTCATAAACTTCACTGTTGAGATGTATTTATCGTTTTCTCTTTTCAAGTCACAGTCAATACCTAATCAACAACTGTATAAAAGGCCTGACGATGAAGAAGAAGTGGAAGAGACGAGAGAAAGAGAAACAGTACGTATATATGTGCGTTTAAACGACAGAGGCGGGTTGTATGCCCGCTGCGTCCACCCATAGACAATCCAGAAGACAGGGACTGGAAACGCCTAATGTTTTGCGCGTGCCATCCGTGATGTGCTTGCGTGACGCTTGTGCCATGTGATTTGAATGGCCTGCTGCTTCGAAAACGAATAAAACGATAGATTGATATAAAAAATAGCCTATTCGATAGATTACAATCTTGTGATGTCAAATGGCTTCATTGTCAAAGACAAAACAGGTTAAGTCTGTAGTTACAGGGTTAAATTTGGCAGTATTTTCTGGAAATAATTGCTGCGTGCGCGATTTACCGATAGCACGATCCAAATTTTACATTTAGCATCACTATAAAGTAGAAATAAATGAAAATTTGGACGTATCTACCTTTGTTAGTATAGCCGCTCCACTACTACGATCCCAAAATTCAGATAATACGCTTTTTTTACGATATATTTTGCATAAACACGTATTCTTCAACAATTTAAAATAAATTAATGATATTTGGTGAGAATTTTGAACTTAAAGTTTATGTAAATCAGCATGATTTTGTATCAGATATCAGTACAAACTCCTTCACGGTCATGATTTCTTTTCTTCATGAATTATTAATGAGTTTCACAATGTGTATTCATATATTCATGCATGAGAGTAAAAATGAATTTATTAAGTATATTGATTATCATAGTATAAACAAATGAAATAAAGGACGTATTAATTCCTATATTTACCCTGTAGCGCACGCCCACGGATATATAGGCATGGCTATAGCAAAAGCGGGCGTGCAGGACTAAAAGGAGTGCCACGGATCAGATTCATCAGAGTAGATTGTGCAAATAGTCGCGAGGCACTAAAATACAAATAACATCTCTGAGGAGGGGAGTGTAAAAGTTTCATAAGACCTAATCTTCGGCAGACCCAATTAATGCTTTATTCTGGTTGTAATGGTGTCATAAACTTCACTGTTGAGATGTATTTATCGTTTTCTCTTTTCAAGTCACAATCAATACCTAATCAACAACTGTATAAAAGGCCTGACGATGAAGAAGAAGTGGAAGAGACGAGAGAAAGAGAAACAGTACGTATATATGTGCGTTTAAACGACAGAGGCGGGTTGTATGCACGCTGCGTCCACCCATAGACAATCCAGAAGACAGGGACTGGAAACGCCTAATGTTTTGCGCGTGCCATCCGTGATGTGCTTGCGTGACGCTTGTGCCATGTGATTTGAATGGCCTGCTGCTTCGAAAACGAATAAAACGATAGATTGATATAAAAATAGCCTATTCGATAGATTACAATCTTGTGATGTCAAATGGCTTCATTGTCAAAGACAAAACAGGTTAAGTCTGTAGTTACAGGGTTAAATTTGGCAGTATTTTCTGGAAATAATTGCTGCGTGCGCGATTTACCGATAGCACGATCCAAATTTTACATTTAGCATCACTATAAAGTAGAAATAAATGAAAATTTGGACGTATCTACCTTTGTTAGTATAGCCGCTCCACGACTACGATCCCAAAATTCAGATAATACGCTTTTTTTACGATATATTTTGCATAAACTACACGCATTTGCCTTTGTTTTTATGTAAATTTAAAGACTTGTTACCGTGGTAACAGCAAGTAATTGCTACGTGACAGGCACATCACGGATGTCACGATTTGTCATCATATTTCTAGCTTACGTTTCCAGTCCCTGTCTTCTGGATTGTCTATGGTCCACCAACCGTTCTGAAATGTTTGACAAGCTGTGAAACTAGTGACTACAAATGTATATATATGTAAAATATTAGTGCATACTTTACATATACTTTATTGTACCTCAATTACCTCAGTGGATAGCGCTATCCGGCCATCCTGTAACCGACTCCAAGTACATCAAACTATATATATATATATATTGACAGTTTTAATTTTTCTTGACCTATTTATCTTGAAACTCGCAAATGAAGTATAATAGTACCTTACATTATTACAACGTTTCCTAATCGTGTACTCTTAATCAGGACTAGTTTTTCACTGTAGGGTTATCTTAAGTTTATATGGGATTAAATCAGCTTAAGCAAGGGAGCTTGTACATGCCTTGGCTTGCTCGTTTGCTAGCGAATATATAATTTACCTTTACCTATACGTTTACCTTAGCTATTCTGTTTACGTATTTTGTTTGTCGGCCATTTCCATTTTCTAACTAATATCACGGTATTAACACTTTCTCATTTTTGTGAGGAGCAAAATCATGCAGCACATTTTCTCAATTTTAGATGATGTTTCCACCTGTGAACACACCAGAAAATAATAGGTATGTTTAATTTTAAATCCTACTGACAAATCAATTCATTATTTGACATGCAGCGGCCTTTGGTGAAAAGTCGGTGAGTTTAATCCTATAGGTGTAATAATATTTGGTGGTGGAAAGTGGTGTGGAAAGGATTTCAAGTTGTTTTTTTCTCATGGGCTATGCACAGAGAAGCGGAACATCCTTCTTCAACACATGCATGAAAAACAATTTTGGATTTTGATCAATAAATATGGAAATAAGCATTAATGGAGCCTCGTTTTCGTGTTTTCCACATTTATTGGTCAAAATATAGAATTATTTTTTCATGCATGTGTTGAACTACTGTCGATGCAATGGAAGTGTTGATAAAATATTGCACCAATTCCATTCCCCAAGTTGATCAATTCATTTGATAGAAAATTGATCAACTTCCTGTTACTTTTAGATGAGCCAATTAGATTTCGTTTCAGAACCGATTGACCAATAGGAAACGCACAGGAAGTAAAATGAAATTTGAATTCGTATGAATTGATCAACTTGAGGAAATGAATTCATGCAATATTTTATCAACACTTCCATTGCATCGACAGTAAGGTAGTCCTAAGTTGAAAACAGTCTAGTTGTGATGTAATTATCGAAAGAGTGTATTGTATTCTTCCGCGCCACATTGATACTTTCAGAAAGTCTTTGATGTTATAATTGTTACAACCATATGGTTTTCCCCACTAAATGGTTTTCATGTTTGCAGAATAATTTTAGAAGACGAACCAAGAGATTCAACTGACGAGGAGAATAAAGAGGTAATTTTAGAATATATCAGGGGGCGGTTGTACAAAAAAATAATAGCAAATAAATAGTGCAAAAATTAACCATAATCAGAATCGCGCATTTGAGAATTAACTTTGTGAATTAACTATTTAACTACAAAACGGGTAGTTAAAAAGTAATTTTAAGCCTTTTATACAACAGGCCCCAGGAGACTACACCTCTATATTCTAGTTTATTAGCGCTAAGAGAGACATCGTTACTGGGCTGGATAATACTGATGTAATATATAAGACCACATGGACCATTAGATATGAACGATAACCAAAAGTTGCACGACAACTGCATCATAACGGTGGGAACTTTTCTCATTTATAGCTGTCTTGCTAGATTTTTAAAATTAGAAGTGCTTGCTCGTTATTTTTTGGATTTGTCCAACCCCCACCCATGAAAAACCTAATTGTCCACCTTTAAGTGATTATTAGTATTGCTGTAGCTGTGTGTAGATTCTGTCCTTGCAGATGCTCGCCTAATAATCCGACAAAGGTAAACTCTTTAAATTGGAAATTCAATACATTTAGCGAAGCGATACAGTAAATCTCTATAAGTATGATTAAACCCCTCGCAGTTTCATCTCAATTATTATACTTTACCCAGAAGGGTATATAGGGCGTATACCCACAGAGCCGAGGCTCCAATAATGGATTTCCCTCCTCCAATTGTCCCTTTCAATAGTTAGTATTAAAATCATGTTTAACTAACATGTAGGTTTTCGAGTCGTGGTCACTCGTGCATGGATAGTTTTCTTCAATGAGATAACCCTAAACGCCTGAGACCAGTTGTATAAAACTCTCAACTAGATTTGACGTCTTTGACCGATAATATTCTTATATTGATTATAGCTTTCTCGCTAACAATAGTCAATTACGTTTTATACTACCGGCTACCGTAGATATCGCTGCCAGAACTAGCTAAAAGTACCGCAACACCAGAAGCTGAAACCACAGATGCAATCGTCAGCAAAACGAACAAAAGTTCGATGAAAAGGTCTCGGCAAGGAAGCGAACCAAGACAAAGAGACATGTTAGCGAGATACGCAGCAAAACGGCGAAGCTTAAATCGATCTAATCCGTTCCGAAACCTCAATGCGCGTAAGACGGTTATGGAAAGAATCTTAGGTAGCCGAATGAGCGTTCCTGGTAATATGATGGGAAATGAACATAGTGTTGCTAGGTGAGTAGTACACTTCTCCGAGTATATATATATATATATATATATATATGCCGCCCACATTTTCGCGCGCCTTTCTTCCAAATAAAATCCCCTTTGAGAGGCGGAGCGGCAGGTCTGAGGCTCAGCGATGATAATTTAAACTACAGAATAATCCACAAAATAATGGGTATTAGTGACAGCCGGGGCGCAGAGCAGCCAAAATTAAAAACTGATCTAATGTCGTAATGGAAATTATATCCAAAATTATGCGATATCAATACTGTGATGACTATATGTTAATTTGAAAAAGCATAGCTATTTGTGTGCTTGTTTGTCTTGATTCGTAGGGTGACTAAAAGTAGTTTACGTTTGTATGTTTGTCGGCGCGAATTTGTAACACGTTGTCTTGCGTTTCTGGACAGTGTAAAAACTGAATGAATAAATTATGCAATAATCCAATTTGCACTGTGTGAAGTCTCTGAGTACCGTCACTGTCTCGGGCATTTATGTAGAATTTGGCTTGAAATCGAAGACAATGGAACGTTGAAACAAGAAGCCTGGTACTTTATAATTAGATATAATTAAAGCGGAAGGCACAAGTAGCGATTGTAGAAAGCCCAAGATATCTGGGGCTTATGGGCTATACCCTCCCCCTCTAGCAATATACTGTATAAAGTCTATGAAATGATACTCATGTATACTTTTGGGAAGACTTTACAGAATTCTGATGGTCAGAAAACAGTTTATAATACAGTATTTGTAAATTCTGAACGCTGATTGGCTAAGAGCCGTGTTGATCTAACTCATTGTCAACACGGAAAATTTCTTTCTTTATATTTCTTTGTGCTATATTATAAAACAAATATAAAACATGTTTTCCGTATTGATATATATATACAGTTATATCAACACTCGTGGACATTGGGAAAACTCGAAAAAACTCGTTTTTTTTATATTTGTTAAATGTAACATGTATATTTGTGAGTGCTTATTAATTCAAGGTGGAGTAATACGAGCAACAAAATTGCTGCCACTTGCAACAAAAACTGATTTCAATGCATGCATGTTAGTTAGCGATGTTTACGAATGTTGTCTCGTGTTCGGTTACTTATCTGTAAACATTTTTAATTAACATGCACTGAAATAAGTTTTTGTTGCATGTTGCAGTAATTTTGTTGCTCCTACATTACACCACCTTTAGTTTATTATTTTAATACACGCCCCTGCTTTATCGCCTCAAGTGTTGCTTAAAACGCCCAATAAGATCAGAGGTTTAAATTCAGTTATTCTGGCACAGGTTTGGTGGTATGCGATCGCACAGAAACTCGTTATCAAGAAGAACATTTCTGGATAATGCTGACGAATTTACACTAACAGCTCAGGCGATTAAATTACCAACACAATCACATCAACCGAGCGCAATTCTTCAACCTTCTCAGTACAAAACCAAGCTAGCACCACCGCAAGGGATGCCAAAAAGCTCTTCTGTCGGTGCGCATGTACGTACATATACGCTGTGAATATTTTTTTTAAAAACGTCTTATCATTAACCCATCCAAATTAATATACCCTGCCTAATATACAGGGCCTTCGAGAGGTTGCACGAGGCCCGGGGCAAAACTTTCTAAGTATATACCGTATTTCGGTACACTTGTCTAATGTACATCGTATTTCGGTAAACTGCATGACCAATGCATGCTGTATGTAAGAGTTAATTACCGAGAACGAGGTTTCTTCGTGGGATACAACCCAAGGGACGTGACCGAAGAAAGCGTCCCGAGGGCCGTAGGTCCCAGGCTATCTACTTCCGCTTCCCTCCCAAACACGTTCCAGCGTGTTAGGGAGGACACGCTGGAGCGTGTTAGGGAGGGAAGCGGAAGTAGAGAGCCTGGCTTGCGAGGTTGGTGCTTTCTAAGGGTTACGCTCCCGAGGGATGTTATCTCAAAAAGAAACCGACGTTCGAGGTACTTAACTAACTTAGTTCAAATTTGTAAGGATTGACACACAATGAAATATACTTTTTTTGTTAAAAATACTTGTATTGAATTAAGGTAGAAGCGCTATAACGAAGATTTGTATGGGTTTGTCGAAGCAAATATTCTAAATTTGCTCTCAATAGTGTTTTATTTGGGTAAGAATCTTAGGTTACGTTTACACTATACCGGATAGATTCCGTAGCGGTATGAAAAAACACCTATCCGATACGGAATGTACAACTTTCAGAAGCTGAACAACTGACATCTCTCCGTTGCAATAATTCCTCTGAAAATAGCGTTCCTAAAAGGTACGGATATATAGGTGTTTTTCACGTCGCTATACGGAAAGCTATCTGGTAAAAGTGTGAAGGTAGCCTAAAAGAAAGTGGAGGGAATTTGATATCTCTATAGAGAAAAGCGGGGTTGATGAATTGATAATTCATTTGAATTGATGATAAAATATTCACCGGTACCAGGTTTTATCCATGTAAAACCCAGTTTTTGCGGGTTTTATATAAAACCCGCAGAAACCGGGTTTTATATGGATAAAACCCTGTAAATATTTGAATCATTGATTCAAAATAGTAAAAAATAATAACGTTAGACTATTTACAGTACAAAATACCTGTAGATAGTCTAACAACATTATTATCATGTAATTAATTTAAATATTCCATCTTTTAAATTTGTAAATAGCTCTTAACAGCACCTCTAAATTGTAACTTTTTTATCTTTTGCACATGTCCCTCGCGTGGAAATCATGCAGCTTCGGTTGATGAGGTCAGCGTGCATAAATAAAGTTTTTTACATATCTATCTAATATTTTAATTAGTCATCAATTCAATTCTATTCATCAACCCCACTTTTCTCTGTGGAGATATCAAATTCCCTCCCCTTGCTTTTAGATTCTTACCCAAATAAAACCCTGTAGAGAAGAATAGAAATCCGCACAAATTTGAACTAAATTGGTTTAAACTACCGTATTTAATATGTTCGACTATGTATTTGTATTTTGGTAAACTTTCACTAAACTACTAACTTTTTTCAGGGTCTTTTTGCAACTGGAGCAATGAAATACGGACCAGCAATCGAAAAGGCGAGGTCAGATCAAACTCACAACAGATTATTCATAGGTTCTCGTACGCAGGAAGCACCAAGATGGCCGGCAGGAAGAATGCGGCACACTGGTACCCGAAAGAAATTGTAATTGTTAAAATTAATGAGACCCATCAATAAATGTTTGGTAATTATTTGTAAAAGCATACTAAGTTTCTGATTATTTGTGTTGTCATTAATAATTTGTAAGACAATGCGGTTTATTTGTACCATTTCTGCTGAGGTTAAAGTTTTATCAAATTTGATAACTATACCAAAAATTGACTATATTGGGATAGCTATAAGCTGATCCTTACATTATATCATGCCAATCCCCCTCCCCCCTTTTTAAAATCACGGGATACCGATCAGTAAAAATAATGCCATTCCTACTGCATTTCAGTTTACCATGTCGTTTTGTTTTTAAGCGACTGCCCAGATCTTAGCTCCAATTTCATTAGTGATTACAATTTTTTTCACTGTGATCTTATTTTAAAGCTTGTTCTCCTTCAAATACGGGATAATTTGTGTTTAAAGTGCAAATAATATCGGCACAAGAGGAATTCAGTGGAACACATCATTTTCAGTTACATGTAATTATGCAATTTTACTATATTACTTCATATTAAACTTTGATGAATCGACGACTTTTTTATACACCATGTATAGCCAAATAAACGTTTGGTGCGTTATTCTGATATTTGACAAATCTTTGCATTTTGAGCACATATTAAGTGAAAGTATTTAAGGCGTTCAATTGACCTCAGAAGTCATTACGTCACGTTATTGTCAAACAATAGCGAGCTTAAGCAAGCGACTTTTTTGTCAACACGGACGTCATCTGAAAATTGGTATAACTAATTTGGGCGGAATTTTGCATCACGATGCTCGCCGTGTAAGGAAGCGAAAAACCTTAAAAAACTTGCATTTTGTCATATGTGTTGAAGATTACCACACACTGATACAAACACAGTTTTTAATCCAGTCCCCCCCCCCTGGCAATCTGACGTCCGTGTTGACAAAAACATCACTTGCTTAAGCTCGCTATTGAATATTTGACCCACAGGTATGCCACATTGCATTGCGTATACGGCCAGGGCCGTAGGAAGCTCTTTTCGATTGGGGGGGGGGCTGAAAGCGAGGGCCAAAGACCCGAGGAAATTTTAAATTTAGAGTCTCTAAAATGCCATTTCCTGGACTTTGGGGGAAGATTTAACAGAATTCTGATAGTCAGAAAACAGCGTTTTAGTATGTCGAAATTTACAGGAAAGTATGGGCCAGACTGTAGTATTATAAATGCGCGGCGGGAATTTTCGTCGTAAATGGCAGTTGCGCGGAAATGAAGGCAGAACATTTGAGAAAAATTCGAAAATCTGGAGTCTCTAGATGGTCTGAAATGGCATTTTCAGAGTTTTCTTTCGCAAGACCCAACACGCAAAAGACAAAATAAATCATTAGTTCATCAAAAATGTGCAGATTTTGTGGGATTTTCTTGAAAATGCGCGACAGAAATTTAGCTAAAATTTCTACGCGAGGAACGATCTGGAGTATGAGTAATATCTTCATTCTTTGCAGTTTGTCACAGATTAAATGATAAAGTTTGCATGATTTTGAAAAAAGAATGATTATTAGCAAATTATTGGGGGGGCTGCAGCCCCCCCAGCCCCCCGGGTTGCTACGGCCCTGTATTCTTCAGATATTTTCTCCGGCCAGCAATAGAGGTGTCAGAAATTCTGACACCCCTATCATTTAGCTGTATTCTTCAGATATTTTCTCCGGCCAGCAATAGAGGTGTCAGAAATTCTGACACCCCTATCATTTAGCATATTTTTCAGATATTTTCTCCGGCCAGCAATAGAGGTGTCAGAAATTCTGACACCCCTATCATTTAGCATATTTTTCAGATATTTTCTCCGGCCAGCAATAGAGGTGTCAGAAATTCTGACAACCCTATCATTTAGCATATTTTTCAGATATTTTCTCCGGCCAGCAATAGAGGTGTCAGGAATTCTGACAACCCTACATCAGTTAGCATATTTTTCAGATATTTTCTCCGAATGTTCATGTATTTTGCAGACAGCAAATTTAATTCTGTTAAAATTCAGTTATTTGGATACAAAATGAAATATTTTTTCAGTAGTCCACACATTTAAGGAATTAAAAGATAAATTTTTCAGTTCTTCGCACAATTGGACTTGAAGTTTTATTACTTTTTGGGTTAAACCAATATTAGTTTGCACAAAGTATAAAAATGTAGCATAAAAATGGGCTAGAAATCTTGGTAACATTTCATACACTTAAAATAAATGTTTTATGCGAATACATTTTCGGAAAAATTTAGCGGAAAATAACAAAAATTTGCTTCAAATTCCTTCGAATCCGCATAATATCAAATTATTTTGATATTTTGCGGAAACATTACGTAAATTCCGCACAATATAGCAAATAATACTCAAAATAGGCATTTTGGAATTTCTCAAAATTGTTTGGAACGCGTTTGTGTAATTTATCAGAGAAAAATGAAAAATAATATTTACTGCTTTAAATATTACCGAAATATTGTCAATCGCGAGAGAAAAGCGTGTAAATCAAAATACTATACGACCCAGGTACACAGTAAAGAAAAAGATAACCCTAAAACTTGGTGGAGTGAAATCAAACGCCTAGGAGGAATGAAATCAATGAACAGCTCCCTAATAAATTT